AGTGTGGCTAGGGTCTGAGATAGAGAATAAAAAAAAACTTTGAAAATCCATTCACAACAACGGTGTTAGTAGCAAAAATACTTCAAAAATGTCATTGTACAAAAAAGTTGCAATTGACTCATATATATAGTAAGAGGAAAACTTAGAAAATTTTCTAAGTGAATCTATCGTATATCTCGTAGAGAAAGACATGCTATTTATATATGAGTTGGTCATGCAAAACAAAAGGGTGACTGGAAAATTACCGTTCTAATGCACTGAAACGCGTACGCATTTAGTGAGTTATCGTTGAACGAGTTTTAACGAGTTAAAATCTATTCTAACCCGCTTAAACGAGTTAAGATAAACTTTTATTCAGGAATATACATGTATTACGCGAGTTACGCGTTTACACCGTATATCATCGATTTTTGGAAAATTTGAATGCGTGCAAACTCGTTAAATTTCTTAGAACCATATTTAACCGGATCTGTCTCGTTACCGCTCCGAAGAAACGTTAGCACGCGTCATATTTGAAAATTTAACCCGTTCAAACACAATTTTCTCGAAAACTTCTTTTTTAACGCATGCTAACCTCCGTTAGGGTATCAAAATTATTTCATGGGTTAGCTGTCTCGTTATAATTTCAAACCTTTTCTGATTAACTAGTCTTAACCCAGCTTTTACTATTTTTGTAATGAAATCGTATTTTAACAAGTTAGTGTTAATTTTGAGACATTTCCGGTCGCATACAAATTCGAAAGATGACACGTTTGCACGCTTTCCAGGGCATCCAAATTGTGAGCACGCGTTAGAATATTTGTTCTTTTAACGCGTGCTAACCTGGGTTTGGATATTAAAATTATTTCATGGGATGGAGAAAGCCTTTGACAAAGTTCCCTATCAAATAGTCAACTCTCGTTTGCCAGCGTCAGGCCTATCTCAAACAGCCCTTCAATGGTTTACGAACCACCTTTCCAACGTTTCCAGCAAGTAAGAATTGGCTCTAAACTGTCTATGCCAACTGCCGTAATAGCAGGAGTAGTGCAGGGCTCCATCCTTGGTGCTCTGCTATTCCTAATATTCATTAGTGACCTTCCTACCATTGCAGACCTGCCGGCTGATACTATGCTTTTTGCCGATGATTGTACCCTCATCTGCCCCATAACAGCAACAAGCCTATCTCAATTCTGTCGGAGTAACATAAATAAAATCAGCGGTTGGTGCAGCTCCAATCTTATGACTCCAAACTCATCAAAATGCGCATGGATGTACGTTTCCAATAGCCCTGATAGAGCCAATGATTTCAAATTTACCTTACCAGATGGCTCTAACATAAAACGCGAGGAAAGCCTTATTTTGCTCGGGACTCGAAATAAATTGTAAACCGAAATAGCGAGTTCATATAGAAAATCTTGTGTGAACCTGTCTGCAATGCCTAGGAGCTATGTACAAACAGTTAACAAGCACCCCCTCATATTGGTATTCAAATCTATAAAAATTGTATCCCCAGTAAGCTAGATTATGCCTGTGCCTTATATGGCACCACTTTCACTGCTCAAGTGTCTCGTCTTGAGTCCATCCAACATCTAGCAGCCCATATGACTACTCGAAACTTTTCTACTCCCGATCAGAATTTAGTTAGGAGATTGAATCTGTCTCTACTTGAAGTAAGACGAAAATACTTTCGGCTTATACATTTTTTCAAAATCCTTAACGGCCTCTCTCCTTTATCTAGACTAAACCTTATCCAATACGACCAATCTAGAAGATCAAGTCATCTTAATCATTTGAGAACAGTAGAAACTCCCTTTGCTAGCACAGAAACCGTTCTTCAATCATTTATCTGCCAAACAGCCCGAGACTGGAATTTAACCCTTCCCGAAGCTGTTGTTATATCACCCACAGTAAAGTCGTTTAAAATAAAGCTGAAGAACCATCTTGTGCTTTAATTGTTTTAAAATAGGGTGGCAAAGTTTATAGGTTCTCAGAACTTTTTTTGCCTTCCCAGTAGCATGCTTTTGTTTTTGTTTATGTAAAGATGTATATTTGTGTTCCTTTTTTTGTTTTCACTATCTATCATCTACTTGTGGCTACTAAAATACAAATCAATCAATCAAAAAAGTTTGTGGGGTCCGATTACGATAGAAGAAGTAAATTTTATGAAATGCTTCACAGAAGGACTTTTGATACTTTCGTAAAAGTCGTTCGGTTTATACTACTCACGTGAAACATAATGGTTAATTTATATCAGCACTATCTATTAGTCATTCTAAATGAGCTTCATTAATGATCTTTAACAGCTCGAAAGTAACGGGTGGCCCAGAAATAATGACACACTTCTGCAACTTATTTCCGTGCACTTAACTGAGGTTTTAAGACTCGATTCTTGGGCTCATTTGATAGAGAATTTTCTGCTCTACTAAATCCGTTACCTTCTTTCATTACATATTATTTTATTATCTAAAAAGATTGTGCAGAGTAAAGACACGTAAAAGCTATAACTGCGACGAATGGAGTAGCTTGTATTTTTTTTTGTATTCGACGTTATTGATTATTTAATAATGTTTCTGTCAGCTATTTGTCACAAATACTATGCGCAAGGAAATAGTCTCGATTTACTTAATTCACATTGAAAAATAATATTTTTTCTTACATTTAGCCACTAACAACAAATGGTTAGTTATAGAGCAGAAAATTCTCTATCAAATGAGCCTAAGAATCGAGTCTTAAAACCTCAGTTGTGCACGGAAACAAGCTGCAAAAGTGCGTCATTATTGCTGGACCACCCGTTAGTGGGGGAAGCTTTTAGTGTTTTCCCATATAACTCGATGAGCTCTACCAGAATAAGAAAGGCGATAAGAACATTTTGCTCAATTTTCTAATTACGAGCACCCTACATAATGTGTATTCAATATCTTGCTGCTTGTATCATAAGTGGTAACTTTGTCTCTTCTACAGAAGTTTCAGAAAATTGCCCACTCGAAAGGTTGACGAGACGGAGAAAAACATTACCCGATTAAAATATTTCTGGAAAACGTTCATGAGATGTACGGCTTTGGCCCATTTTTCCTTTATTTCTTTCCAACACACGGCATTCTCGTAGCAAACACTTATTTCAAACTGAGATACCTAATTTTTCTGCATCGGTCATGAGTCATAGTTTCTTAATTCGGACAATGAAAGACTAAAACGTAGCGCTCGTTGTTGTGACACTTTCTTCCCTCAATTTGGTTGTTTATAAAATACAACGATTCCTCTAAGAACTGGTAATTTGTGTCTCCCCTCTCTTCTGTCTCTTTGTGTGTGCATTTGTATGCCATGGCATAGGCGTGTATGTTCGGCTTTTGTCTATGTCGCTTCTCTTTGGCATCGAGAATAAATAAATAAGTAAATAATATTCATAAAGTGGATATGAACACATAAATGGTTCTTATCTCACTTAAAGGCCAGTATATCCAGTCGGTACACTGTGGATCCGTATTATGACATCACTGCTAAAAACTTGCACAACCACATTCAACTCATAGCAGTATTCTTTACACAGAAAAGATGAAAGAATTTTATCCAAGAAAAAAGAAATTTGCTTTTCTCCTGTCATAAGAATGAAAACGGCCGTTACGAACAGTGTGAATTCTTTTTTTGTCCATTCCAACACTTAGTGTACGCGTGCACACAACAGAATCATAAAACTTGGTTAGTAACACATTTTCTATATGGTTGAGAAAGAATGAAGAAATTATGTTTTCAAAAAAAATTATAAAGGAATGACATCAAAGGAGTTGGCATTTAGCGCTGCATATTGAATTAACAAGTTCATTTCCTCAAAAAAGAAAAAAAGAAATCTGAAATTTACGTTCTCTTTTTTAACAACATTACACAACAAGTTTTACCATGACCTTCATTTATAAACAGTTTATGAGCTTTGTATAAAAGGATTTAAGTATAATATACGGAAGATTTGTCGTTTTAGTTAATTATGGCAAAAGTCATTAAAGTTAAGTTTAATGGAAAGACTCGACGTTATCCTTATCCTATTACACCGATTAAAGACTTTATGGAGTCACTTCGTACAGATTTTAGTATACTTGCAAACACAAAATTAAACTTACTGGATAACAGTGAAGAACTTTCACCCTCGTCTACATTAGAGGCACTTGGTATTCCGGCTGGTACTGAACTGGAGTTGACATCTGATATTGACAACAAAGATTTAACAATAAAAGTTCAAACAGTAACCGGACAAGTATTCCAATTTCGTTTTGATAACCATTCAACTTTAAACGACTTATATGGTGCTATTCATAAGCAAACAGAATTCACAACAACATTTCCTCTTTTATTCAATCATCGTATGCATATATTCGAATCGAGAAAGTTTTTGGATGAACTAGTTATTAATTTCTTACATTTAACTACCATTAATGATGAAACAATTCCACATTTTTATTTATTCGAATGTGATCGCACATTTGAAACGCGTAAATATGATTATAAGAAAACTCTAAAAGACTTATTTCTTAACGACGATCTATGGCAGCCTAAATCGGCACAACAAACAGAATTAGCTATATCGATTTATTTGAACAGTATGTTTGCTCTGACAAGAGTATTTTTAACGAAGAAAGACGTCGAGTTTGATAGTGTTCATAACGTTTACATGGCACAGTTTCTTATTGTTCTTCGTCGATTTCTATTTCCACCAGCCTGTCTTGCATTCAAGCATGCCATGGAAAGTGCTCTATTCAATTTTGAAAAACCATTACTGAGCGAAGCATTCTATCATTTATTTCGTGATCTACTACCTAAACATATTCCTAATAATGAATTGTTTTCGTATACACCATATGTATTTTGTTGGATATTCCTTAACGGTGAGTTAGCTTCAACTGAAAGTGCGTGTTATGAATCTGTTGAACTTGGTAGTTTAATCGGAAATGCTTCTCGCAATACTGAGAATGACGCACAACTCTACAAGTATTTCGTCGAACCAGTGAGATTGTTTAACGATAGCAACCGCGATCGGTTCGTGATAAAAGAATATGAAGACGTGAAAAATAGCCACCGTCTAACTACAAACGATTATCAGCGACAAACAGATCTTGTTGGATTGTTGATGATTTTAACAACTAACAATTCTGCAGATCAGCAAGAAAGTACATTTGAAAAATATTCATCTGACTATACGTTGTGGGTACCAAGTGCAGATATTGATTTGCTATCTAATGGTAACGTCTGTGAACAAAAACATAATCTAAAATGTTTATCTGACAAAGATTTAGAAGAGATCAAGCAACAATTATCTACTAATGATTTGTATAGTATATTTACATTCGCTGATCCATCGGCATTATCTAAACACAATCATGCTCAGTTTGTTCTACTCGGATCCGGTGAATGTGTCTATATTATGAGTACAATTAAAGGTGAGACAAGTACATTCACTTGCTTCGATCCTTCATATAGAAAACAGACCTTTCGTAAAACAGACGCTGCTTCAAATGAAAGTCTTGTTCAACACCCTTCTATTATCATTAGAGAAAATGCAGCTGATATAAGAAAAATTGATCAAATTACTTGCATACTTTTCGATATTAGTGGATCGATGCATACAATGATTGGTAGCGAAGATAATAAACACACTTTATTAGAGTTAAGTACAATGGCTTTTGGTGCTTGGCGCGATCGTTTAGTATCTTATAGAATGGCACATGCTCTTGGTCTGGTATACTTTGGTGCTGATGAAGAATTGCCTTCAGACTTTTTTTCTCAGTTACGCTATCATGCCCCACAAAGAAGAGCCACATTATCAAATGAACGAATTGTCGTGCAATGTGATATAACGAGAGACTTTGCTCATTTGAAAAAGCATTAGCTAATCGACCAAATTGTGGTTTTGATACCCCACTGTATGATGCGATCAATGTTGCGATTCAAAAAATTCTATTGTTTCGTCAAAAAGTACAGACAAGACTTAGTCCAACATGCAAAGATTTGATACTATGTTTAACTGATGGTGCTGATAATTGTAGCAAAATTTCACAACCAGCTATTCTTGAAAAATTATTAGAAAACAATATTATTTTTGACGCTATAAGCTTTGATTTATCATCTAATAATTTATTAGTTGAATTTTGTGAAAAAACCAAAGGTTATTATTACACCGATATTCCACACAGTCAACAGGATATGTTAAATTTATTTGAATTAGAAGCAACTATATCAGTTAAAGATCGAGAAGAAAATGTTTACGGTAAAATAAAATATCCTAAACGTGTACAACCAAAATTCTTAGATAAACCAGCTATTGCAGCAAAACAAGCGAAGATAAGTGATGGACGCGCAATAAATATGTCATTCAGACGAATCATGCTCGAAATCAACAATTTAAATAAATCAGAGTTAAAAAATTTTGAATTGTTTATTTCAAAAGAAAATATCTTCTTTTGGAAAGTTATTATGCATGGTGAAACTGGTACACCATATTCTGATGGACGTTGGTTGTTATTTATCGAATTTCCGCAAATATATCCACAACAACCACCTGAAATTCGATTTATAACTAAAATTTACCATTGTAACATAAATGATGATGGAAAAATTTGTCATGATATATTAGGTTCAGCTTGGTCACAAAAAACTTCTATGTATCACATTTTCATGGAGATATTACGTCTACTGAGAGAACCTAATCCAGATGATGCTTTATCGTCCGTGAAAGGTGCTCAATGTGCAGCATCGCGAGATAATTATGACAATACAATAATAGAATGGAAAAATATGTATGCAAATGCAACTGTCGATGAATTAAAAGCGCAATACTTACTCGAATAAATGTAATTCGCTTAGTAACGAGTATACTAATGATTAACTCAATCACTACACTTTACAATGCTTTTGAGTTTAAAAATAAAAGCATAGTATTAAACTCCACTCCGATTGAAAAACTTTCACTTCCACAAGTATCAAGATATCATTCTAACGTTCTTATTCACATATAACTTCGAGATATGACACTTCATTTTGTTGGAATGGTTATTACCACTTTCGAAAATGTTAACAAGAGATTGCTGCTGTAGTCATATTAACACAAGAACGCCCGTAGCGGTTCATTTTGACCGTTTTGTGATTTTTATCCTTAATAAAACAAACTGCATACAATTTATTTAAAAATAAATTATGTCATAACTTTTATTTTGTCCCACAAAAATTATTTTCTGCAGAATTTTGAATTCATTTTTTAATTCAGAACCATTTTTATGTAAAAGAACAGTAACGGTCAAAATGACCGCTTTGGGCGTTCTAGTGTTAAATAATACAGCACAATAATTGATTTAACAATTAAAAATTTTATTTATTCTTTATTATGTTTTTAACATATCGAATCTACTGATTCATCATTAGAAAGATATACAAGTAAAAATGTGATGAAGTAAATATAAATGATCGACTGTGAAACATATGTAAATATAATTTATATAATAATTCTATATATTCAGAAGGAATTTTAAGAAAAATCAATAATGTAAGAAATCGGAAAAAAATGATCTCTATTTTTTGCTTTTAGTTAATCTTCTCTTTTTCGTTTCTCTATAATTTATCTGTCCGCGTGTTTATATCTACATATGTTTTACAGTTGATCATTCATAAGATGCACGGAAACCAAACTTTGCACTGGAATTATTTTCGAACATATTATACACTGTTGGATAGAGGAGTTCAAAGCGGTCAAGAATATATGTGCCTTGGTTTTTTTTTGGACACTTTTTTCCTGTCGAAAAATTAAAAAAACTCGAAAAGTATCAAAAATGGACAGTTTATCTTCTTTCATGAAATTCGTTTGTGTAAAGTATATTACGAGATTGAATGTTCTAACTTTGTTTTCCTGATTCAGCATTGAAACTGAATTAGAAAATGGTCTTAGAACACATTTAGAACAAAACATCTATTCACAAAAAATTATGCAATGTCCATGACTCAAAAACAGAACATAATTTTTCAAGCCTATCACAGGTTTTTCTAAAGGTGCTAGAGCAAGTACTTTTACATAATTAGATCTGCTAGATGCTCAGCTTCAAAGTTACGAAAAGCTTTTCCAAAAATTCCTTTTCCTTGCTGGGAAAATGAAATAGGTAGCAAAAAGCAAGGAAATTCACTTGTATTTTGCAGTTTCCACCGTCAAATTTCCATTTTTGTGGAAAACCAATGTCATATTTGGAATCAACATCAAAAACTGAATTGACTAATGCGTGTCTCAGGACCTTTGGATAACTTGCATTTTTCCGCAAAAATCTCGATCGAAAAGTTCCAAAAAAAAAGTTGCCCAAAGGTCTTGACGGCTTGTCCAGCTAATGGTCTCCTGTTTTCGCTCTTTTTCAAAGAACTATGCCAATAAACTTAGAAAATAATCTAAAATTTCAACCAGATAATTAAGTAGATTAAAACATTTCTCTACAAAATGAAAAGTGTCTTGGCTCTGACCGTTGATTCGTTATGAAAATACAGCTGTTGTACAAACAGTCCCAAAATCGATTATAATAAAATAGTCATCTTTAACATTCTGTCATTTCTTGGTTTCTGTATTCTGTACTTTTTTTTAGAGAGCATTGTGGTTTCAAATTTTATATTAGTCCAAATAACTTTCACGTCAACAAAAGCTAAAACCTTGTCTATTTCTGTCTCATATGTAAATTGTATATCGGGATGATATGAATTTAAAATAATATTTATTTCTTAGACTGACGAATGTTTTTCCAACAGTACAAAAGTATCATCAACATATCTAGTAGAATACTTGACCCCTTTTGCCTGTAGCTTAGAAATTGCATCTTCCAGACGACACATAAATATATTTGCTAGAATGATACTAAGGGAGAGCCCATAGCTACACCATTTATTTGTCAATATAACTGACCATCAAATAAAAAATGTGTATCAGATGTAGCAATTTCTAATAGTGATTTAAAATCATTTTCTCACATCTTCGCAGGTATATGAAGAGCATTTAGAACATTTAATCTGACATTTATCATAATATTAATAAGATAGATAAGAATCTTGATAGAAAGTATAAGATAGAAATATTAAGAATAATATTAATAGTATATGTTAGAGATACCTTAGTAAACAGGCTTGTAACCTCAAAAGAAACCATTTTTCAGTCTGTCATTGAGTTCATACTTTGTCTCATAGATAATTCGTTTCCGGACGTTTCGTCTTAGACAATTTGTCTCGAACAATTCGCCTGCAATAATTCGTCTCCGGACAATTTGTTTCATGGACAATTCGTCTCCTCGATAAAAGCGGATAAATCGTCTCATAAACCCCGAGTATTTGAAAAGACCTATCATATAAATAGAAACGAAAAATTGCTTGACAGATGTATTTGAGAAGACGCAAGGAAGCAAAAGAATCGAGCACACTTCTTCTTTTTATCGTTGTAATTAAGTCGAACTAAATTAGTTTTAAAAATGTTTTACATAACCCAATATATCGATAGCTGAGAAATTAGAGGCTTACGAAAAAGAAGAATTTCTCTGGCATAATTAGGAAGAGTGACTCTGTACTGGTAAGATGAGAAAACGAAAATATTTTACTTTCTTGTCCATGATAAAGACGAAGATAATATAACTTTCATAAAAGACATTTCACCGTTCAGTTCGCTCCCTTTTCGCTATGGGTCACTTCCTCAGCTGACTTTTATTTGTCCGTTTTGTTTCTTATAAGACTATAAAATTATCAAACGGTTTTCTATTCAAGTTGTATGCAGACAGTTTAAAGGATAATTGAAATATGTTCCTTTGTTTATCTGTATTATTTTTGCAATAAAGCTTCTAGGCGCATTCCTTGTAGTCCCTGCAGACAGCAAGAAGACGAGAACTTCTGCTGTGGATAAAACAGATCGGTCTTGTTTTAGTTGTAAGTAACGCTAGAGATAAGTTTTGATTGCATTAATTCTCAATCTTTTTTTACTTTTTTCTGCATTTATAACTTATTATAATGAGGATTATCGTAATTAGTTGGCTTACGTGATTTTTATTTATTTTAGATAGTAGTTTTTGTTTTCTCTTTAAACGATGATCATTTGAATAAGCAAGCAGAAATTAATATGAATAAAAACCAGAGGTGAAGTCTAAGAGTGTGATTTTAGTGTTCTATTAGAAAATAAGATAATTAATCAAGCCAATTAATTAAGCCAACTAATTACAACAAAAACTCGTTCAAAAATCTTTTTTCTCATTATAATATGTTGTAAATGCAGAAAAAAGTAAAAAAAGATTGAGAATTAATGCAATCAAAACTTATCTCTAGCATTACTTACAACTAAAACAAGATCGATCTGTTTTATCCCAACAGGTGGTCTGCAAGAAATGCGTTTAGAAACTATACTGCAAAAATAATAAAGATAAAAGAAGGAACGTATTTCGATTATCTTTTAAACTGTCTGTAAGAGGAGTGATATTATGTTCTCAAACCTATACTTAAATAATATTCTGCCTAGTTTACTTTATTTACTACGAAGTTAAATATCTTCTGACTAATTGCACGCTACAAGAACTCTCAAAAACACAGCTATTATAGCTGAGATTGGCAACTTCGGCTAGGTACAACTCCAACGCTGAGGATCTCAACTTCAACTCTGTTTCAACTCCGAGTTGAAATCTATTCGTTCTTTCCTTTCTTTTTTTTAATTTGTCCATATAACGGTCATGTTTTCTTTTATTATATGCTGCTTACACGTTTATGTCTCTCGCGGCAAAAACAGACAAAAGCCAACCAAAAAGAACTGTCACAAAGAAAAGGAAATAGCCAATTTTAAGTTGCTAGTTAGACGTCGCGATCGTTTACAAACGATAATTTTTATCACTAGTTAAACTCGGCAGAACAATATCACAATTGGTGTATGAATACTGATATTTTCGAATAAGTTTGGGTGATCTTTTAACAACAAAACGATCAGTAATTTGTCGTAACTTTAATGCATCATTAATCTGCTCTGAAGTTAGTTTATAAGAAATTGTTTCATCAGCATCACTATTCTCATAATGTGTGTTCATTCTTAAATTCAAGTAGTTGTGTATAAAATTAAGAACTGAAACGAACGAGTAGGCAAAAAACGCATGAAATATAGGTATTTTCGCCAACGCACATTTATGAGAAAGCACTTGTTTGCAACATTGATTAATTTTATATACACCTACTGG